ACAGAGGGAATGTATGGAGAAAATACCGTGTTTCAGGATTGATATCTCAACCTACCAGCGAACTAGTGTGAGTTTCAACTCTCTCTCTGAATTTCTTGTTAATGAAGAATTATTGAAGTAATTATTAGAGGCAATTTAGTAGCTACAATGAGATTGCAACAAAAAGGCTTACTTTTATTTTTCCTTTTTCTGAGGAAATGAAAGATTTTGATTTGTAGTGGTAATCTATTCAGGTTTCCTGTAGATGACAACCCAACAATGAAATCAGTTTACCGAATACTTCCAGGAGATGTATGGCTTCACCATTCAACACACACATTTACCTTGCTAATAGACATGTATTTGAGGTTAATTAGCCATCAAATGTGAAATCATATATTTTTATTCATGACATGGATTGCTGTCTTATTCATTTCCCCCAAATGTTTCAATGCTGCCTCTCATGCTTTCACATTTTTATTTTGTTGTGCAAGGTTGGTTCTTGTTCTTGACTAGGTTGGCTTTTTGGGAATTTGAAGTTGATACTTGACTGAGCTTAAACAAAATTGTCAGAAGCAAGGTTTAAGTCTAAAGTTTAATAGCAAATTTACAGCAAACAAAAGTTTAGCAGCAAATTAATAGCAAACAAATTATTTTATTCTCTTTAGAAACCATGACGTTGTTTTAATTGTCAAGGAAAGCTTCATTTACTCATTTCTCTTTGTGCCAAGTTTGAATTGTATGCCTTGATCTTTTGCCAAAGGTTTATCTCATATTTCAACGGAGGCATTCATGAAACAAGTGATTCAGATTAATTTTTATATTAATTATTTTGGTAACTTTAATATGTTAATATCATTATTAACTTGTTATGTATTTTAATTCAATTTTGTTCTTTAAGATTCAAATATGATATTTTTTTTCTTTATGAATTATTTTGATAAATTTAACTTCAGATTGTTATTTTTATATTTATATAAATAGAGTATTTTCCGTGGACATTTTAATAAATTAATTTCATAAATTAAGATTGTTTACACCTAAAATAAACCAATATGGTAAGGCCACGTGTCAAGGTAAAGCCCAATTATCAAGAAAATCAATAGGCTGGATTTGGGCTGGGCTGGCTTACAATTTAACGGCTCAGACGGATTTTCAAGAGGGTTGGATCTTAGGTGGCAGAAGATAAGATTGGATCTGGTAGTTTGAATTTCATTTAAAATGGGAAATTGAGGATTTTTAGGTAGTTATCTTTAAGGTTGTTGGAAATAAAGTTAAATAAAGATCAGATAATTATTAAGTAACTGCCAGACCTGCAACCCCACTACCAGATCATGGAGGAACAGTGCCGAAAATGGAGGAACAGTACCGAAGATCATGGAAAAGATCATGGAGGAGGTTACCAGCATCGAAGGGAACAAAAACAAAGAGAAGAGAACAGTTACAGGACTGCCCAGCACACACACAGACTGCTCAGAGCATGTTTTTCAGCTTTCAGACTGCATTTTCCAGATTTCAGCAATAGTTTCCAGATTTTCCAGACTTTCCAGATTTTCCAGATTAATTCATAGCCTTAGCCTAGGTTTGTTCATCATATTTTCTCCCACAAATTCCAATTTAGATTAGTTTTTAAGCATTTGGAAGCAACTTAGCCTTCAAAACAGGTCTGCC